CCCCCCCCCCCGATGCCCCAGCAGCGTGAAGAGACCCCTGCTTGATGGCGGCACCCCAGGATGGCAGAGGCCCGTCCCCCAGGCCGGCGTCGGCCGTGCCCTTTGGACTTGGCAGTTTCTGTAGCCGTGCCGCTCACCAGACTTTTCGCTTAAACTCTGGATGCTCTGGCTTTCTGTGCTTCCTTGGATGAACGCTGGCCAATATCCCGTTGTCCCTGTAACTGTGGACCGTTCGAGAAGCACTCCCTTTCATCTGGCAGACACTGCCCACTTCCTCCACTCTGACCTCTGCCCCAGCCTCGCCTTCACTTTGGTTTCCCAGGCCCTGGGGGTGTCTTTCCTCTCTACCTCCCTCCCTTCCTTTGGACTCTTCTGCCTGTCCTCTGCTTTGTCTTTGGTCGCACTCTGTAGCCTCCACCTGCCCTTCCCCCACTCCGTACAACTTTCTGTTATTTGATGCACCTAATGGAGTAGCTGGTGGGGACGGAGTTAGGGCTGGTGTAGACAGCAGGGCACAGGAGCCGGTTCCTGGAAGCAGAGGGCTGGGGAGGCAGAAGCAGTGGATCTGCAGTTAGGAGACGCTGCACTTCCGCAGCCGTGTCACCTTGAGCAAGTCACTTACCCTCTGTGAGCCTCAGTTGTCACGTCAGTAAGCTGGGGCCATAGGTCTTCTGCCCAGATCTCCTAGGGCTGGTGGGAAGTTCGATGGCAAGAACAGAGGTGAGAGGGCTGCCTTCAGAAAGGCCTGCCCACCCTGAGCAGCTCAGCCAGAGCACAGGGCTCCCTCAGCTCCCCCAGTTCCCGATGGGGTGGCCTTGGGTGGTCATGCGACCCCTGTGCCCCTGAGGTCCTGTCTCCCCACCCCACGCGTTAGCAGGAAGACGGCAGCTCCAGGGCTGAAGGGCAGCATGCCTGACACCCACCTCCCAGCAGCCCCGGGGGGAGGGGGGCAAGAGCTCGGACAGGAAGCAGGCTGAGGGCGGGAAGCTGAAATCGCTTGCGGTGTAGTCCGCCCACTGCCACGTGTTTGTCCTCTCTGCCTTGGCAGGAACCGAGGCCGAGAACTGCCCGACAGGCCTGGGCGCTGGGCACTCTCCCAAGCGCCGGCCCTCCGAGTGCAGAGAAGCAGGCCCCGGGCAGCCTGTGTTGTCGGGTCAAGGCATCTGGGGGGCGGGGGACACAGTTCCGAAAGTAAACTCAGGGAGGCGTGCTCCCCAACAGAGCTGCAGACTTCTTGAGAAGGGGACAGAGGCGGCAGCGGGTGAGCACTGGACTGGGAAGCAGACCTGGGGCCCAGTCACAGCCTGGCACCGAATGGCTGAGGGGCTTGGGGCCAGTTGTGCCTTCTCCCGGCCCTCAGCTGGCTGTCTCGCGGCTGTCCCGTTGAGCGGCTCCCAGCCTCAGGGCTGGGACTGCAGCCGTCAAGCGTGGCTCCTCCCCCTGCCCGCCCAGCTTGCAGATGGAGACCGGGAGCCTGTTCCCATCGCCCATGTGCGGCCAGTCAGGCAAGCGAAGGGAAGCTGGGACCGAGTGGCTACTCCGGGTGTCGGACAGTGCGTCAATCTGATCGTGTGATCATCGCGCCCTTCGTGCCAGGACCACCTGGAACAAGCCTTGGCCCTTTCCCCATGACAGCCCCGATATCCCTGGTTCGCTCAGCCATTCTTTGCCCTCGTGGTTGGGAGTCCAAGCCCTACCTCCAACACTTAGGGTCCTCCGAGTGCGGCCAGTTTGTCTGGGTCTCCCTGAGGCTGGCATGCCCAAACTCTTGTCAGCACCGTAGACATAGTCTGGCCAAGGCAGAGTCGTGTAGGACTGTCACCTCCCTCCTTCTACATACTCTGCTTCTATTAATGCAGCCTAATGTCACATTTGCTCTTTGGGTGACCACATCTCACTGCTGCCCCATCCTGAGCAGAAGGATGTCCAGAATGCCTAAATCTTTCTTCTCCGTGCTCTTGCTGTTAAGCTCTGTGTCTCCTGCCCTATCCTACGCTGTCGCAGTTGGTTTTTTAACCCAGGTGCAGAATCCTACTTTTATTTATACCTGCGGAGTTTTGCTTGGGAGGGTGGGGCATGCATGCGAGTGTGTGTTGGTGTGTTCACTCATGCTTTCTGCTACACCAAAGCCAAGTCCTGAGTCCCCACACAGAGATCCCAAGGCTAGTATTTCTCGGTAGCCCTAATCTAACACTTCTTTTTCATCTTCTATTTAGGAAGAGAAGCAGAAATCAGGTCTTATGGCAATGATCCCTGAACAGCGGAGTGCATATCTCGCCCAACAGATGAGTCAATTTCAAGGTAAGCACTTAAAGTCAATGTTCTCGAAAGGGTGGGCCAGGGGGAGTGTGTGTGAGGTTGGGGGAGAATTCATTCCAGCATAAACAGTTACTGAGATGTTTCTGAAAAGCATTGAGGGGAAGAGAGGAGGTCTGCAAGGCACTTCCAGAGCAGCCTGGTTGGATCTGTTACATAGAAAGCTTAAGTAGAGTCCCAATGAAACGCTCAGTCTTAATGACTCTGAAATCACTGGGGTTTTTTTTTTTTTTTTTTTTTTTTTTGGCCGTCCGCGGGCCTCTCACCGTTGTGGCCTCTCCCGTTGCGGAGCACAGGCTCCGGACGCGCAGGCCCAGCGGCCATGACCCACGGGCCCATCCGCTCCGCGGCATGTGGGATCCTCCCGGACCAGGGCACGAACCCGCGTCCCCTGCATCGGCAGGCGGACTCCCAACCACTGCGCCACCAAGGGAAGCCCCTGGGGTTTTTTTGTGTTTTTTTTGTGTTTGTTTTTTTTTTGCGGTACGCGGGCCTCTCACTGCTGTGGCCTCTCCCGTTGCGGAGCACAGGCTCCGGACGCGCAGGCCCAGCGGCCATGGCTCACGGGCCCAGCCGCTCCGCAGCACGTGGGATCTTCCCGGACCGGGGCACGAACCCGCGTCCTCTGCATCGGCAGGCGGACTCCCAACCACTGCGCCACCAGGGAAGCCCTGAAATCACTGTTTGATTCAAGAGATTGATTCAACCATGGCATCTATGACTGTAATCAACATTGACTGGCCGCAGATACAGCTGTCAGCCAAAAACCAGACATGGTCTCTGCCAGACTAGCAGAGGGGAAACATGCGTTAAGCAGTCCTCCCCAGACAGTGGTGACATTGGACCAGGCCAAGGGTATTCTTGCCTGGGGTTTGGGGGAAGCTGCTTGCCCTCCAACAGGTGTTCAGCAGCTTCATTGTAGCCCGGTGGCCAGCAATGGCCCATTGCTCCTGCATTCTCTTGCAAAAACCCCTGTTCCTTTGGGTCTGATACCAGCTGAATGTCCCACCTGTCCAGGCTGGAGTGGCATGTCAGGCACACTTCAGCCGCAGGGACAGGACGGACAAGTTCCAGAAAGGCCAGTGTCAAGGACTGGGCATCCTTCAGGGGGTGGGCGGTGCCAGGCCTGCGTACGGATACTGAGTAGAAAAGTAGACCCAGACCCTGGCTTCATGGAGCTTACAACCTACTGGCATTTTCAGTCCAACGTGATCTGCTCTTGGGTGGAGGGGGAGCCATGAGCACAGACCCAGGGGGCCTGGGAGGGCTTCCCCCAAGAACTGCAGTCTGGGCTGAGGGTGGAGGAACCAGGGGAGCAGGGGATGCTCGGGAAGAGCCCAGGGCGGAAGGTGAGAGGTCAGTGCTGGGCCGGTGGCTCCCCGCCAGCAGCTGTGGCCCAAGTTGAAGATGCCTTTGGAACTGACCCCCACTTCTCTCTTTCTGTAGCCGTCCAAGATCAAGTCACCTCCAAGTGTAGCCGGACCAAGGCAAGCTCCCCACCCAGCCAACCCATGATGCCACCCAGAGCTGCGCTCCTCCAGAGCAGTCTGAGTCCAGGAATGGTCCCACCCGCCAGGCACCAGAGCCGGGAGGGCGTGGGCCTGATGTCACCAACTCCAGGCAAGCAGCAAGGGATTTTCAGCTCCAGCCCCCCGTTTCCCACACCCTTGCGCTTGAGCCACAACCCCGCAGGCAGCCTCGGGTCCACCTGCCGGCGCACGCGGATTCCCAAGGCCGCCCCCACGGGATTGCCCCTGCCCGGCTTCTGTCCCAGCCCCCTGGGCAGCCAGCCCCTGAGTCCCCACCAGCTCAGACAGCCCTGCGTGCCAAGAGTGCCCACTGTGCTCCACAACGCTGCGTGGGTGGCAGCAGCAGCAGCTGTGAGCACCGCGGTGTTGAGGGGGCCACCCCCGAGGCAAGCAGCCCATGGCATCCAGCAGCATTTCCATAGCAACTCCCTCTTTGCCAAGGCCCCCGTGAGAGTCCCCCAGGGAGCTCCAGTGTTTCCATCACAACAGGCAGTTGTGTCCCCCAGTCAGGTGGCCCCGGGAGGCAGACCCAGCCAGAAGGTGGGCGCTGCCCCCGCCAACCCCAGCTTCAGCCTGCTGGGCCACCAGAGCCTCAGACAGAGCCCGCTGCGGGGTCCCGTGCCTGTGCTGCATGCCACCAAGTCCCTCCAGCAAGGCATGGCCAGCTTCAGGCCCATGAGTCCCATCCAGGGCATCGAGCCACCAAGCTATGTGGCTGCCACCGCCACCGCCGCTGCCGCCTCCTCCACCGTCGCTGCCAGCCCGTCCCCTGGTCCCTTCAACAGCGTGGGGAGCCCCCCTGAGTTGCCACCCTATGCCTTGTTGCCCCAGGCCTCACTGAACGATCTCATTTCACCCCCTGACTGCACTGAGGTGGATTTCATCGAAGCTCTCTTGAAAGGCCCCGGCGTGAGCCCAGATGAAGACTGGGTGTGTAACCTGAGGCTGATCGATGACATTCTAGAACAGCACGCTGCTGCCCAGACTGCCGCGGCCCAGAGTGCCGGCCACGCCCCTGAGCAGGCTGGCCACATCCCCCAGAACGTTGGCGAGCTTTAAATGCCCAGAGAAACCTTCACGTGGCCATCACTCCGGGGAGTGGTGTGAGTCCACAGCAAATTCGCAGCTGGTCCCACGTAGCCACACGCTTGTTGCCTCATTACAATTTGAGGGGCGTCAGCCCACGCCCACCCCTCTCGCTACCTGTGACAAAATGGAAAGCTGGTGATTTTTCAAGCTACCTGTACATATCTGAAAATTTTGTAAATGGTTTTCCTAAACATTCACGACAGAAGTATTTATACTTCGTTTTGTGACTTTGTAAATAAAGTGACGGCTTTCCTTTCAGTAGAGCTGTGTTCATTGCGCATTGTCTGTGTTTATTCTACATTGTTGCAAATACGCAGACTGTGTTGCTCACTCCAGCCATACCTTATCAACCAGGTGGTGGAGTCATGTACGCTTTAGATGCAGTGGTGGATGTGATCAAGAGGTGTTGTGCAAACTGACAAATACCAAATAGAAACTCACTTGGCCATTTATTTCCATTTCCACTAAAACTTCTGTCGCCCTGTGTGGTTCTTAACCTCTTTCGCAAACCTTTCAGTCTCTGCTAGCTCTTTCCTGATGAGCATATTACAGCACAAGCCGTTTTATCGTTAAGTGCCCCTCAGAGGAATTATTTGCAAGGAGGCCAGAGAGTTCTGTAGATTTGGGAGAAGCAAAGAGGTAATGTGTGAGCTGGGCACTGTCTGAGGATCTTGAGTATCCTCCCTTTATCCCTCAGACGGTTGGCACTACTCCAGCAGCACCTTGCAGGGTGGAGGTGAGATGTTCCTGGTTTAAAGCCTTTCGGTATTTGTTTTGATGTAAGGCTCTGTGGTCTGGGGGAAAATGGGTCTGTAAACATTAATTGTTGATTCGGCCTTTGTCTCTGATGGTTTCTATCTGCAATTATCGTCATGTATATTTAAGTGTCTGTTATAGAAAACCCACACCCACTGTCCTGTAAACTTTTCTCAGTGTCCAGACTCTGTGTAATCACATTTTAATTGCCACCTTGTATTTCGCCTCTACATTTGAAATCTGGCATCTGTTTCAAACCAGTGCGTTTTTTCTTCGTACTGTAATAAACAGCCAGGAGAAAAGTGCCTCTATGTTTTCATTTCTCCAGGGAGCATTCAGTATCTCCAAACCCCTGTCAGCTAAGCCCGCTAGTGTCTTCGGGCCTTTCTGAGGCCACTCCCTGTCTTGGGATGCTTGGGCACCGAGGGGAGAGGGGTGAGAGGTTCGTGTAGCGTGAGCCGCGACCCTTTCACATCACAGCATAGAAGCACATCATTTCTGACTCGAACGCCTCCTTCTACAGAGGACGAAACAGGGGAGCCGCTAAGGTGACTCTGCGCTGGGGGCAGGGGGCAGGGGGAAGCTTGCGCTGAGAATCTAGACTCTCCCACCACCATCCTCTTTCCACTGAGAGGGTGAGAGACCCAACTAAAGATCCAGCTCCTCCCACGTAAGGGGGACCCACATGGGGCGGCTGGAGGTTGTCCATCACTTCAGAGAGAGTCAGGAAGAGCCTGGTAAAGGCGTGGTCCCGGGAGAGAAGGGTCTTCCCGCCTCCTCGTCCCCTGCCCCTCCCCCAAAGTCTCCGCTAAGGCCAGCCCTGTTCGTCCTTAGCACTGGAGCTGGTAGAGCTCAGCGGTGCGGGGTGCTGAGAGGACGGGACGCAGGGGCTGTGCCGCCGGCCCGCCCCCGTAGAGCTCCAGGAGCCCCGCCCCGACCTGCTACCCAATCCCCGCTCAGCCTCCTCTTCTCCCTGCCCTCCCCGCCAGCAGTTGCAGGCAGCATCTTGGCTGCAGGCTGTTACCAGTTTAAACTGCACGAAGACAACAGGGACTCCTGTCACCTCACGCTCGGGCCCCTCCCTCACAGCAAGAAAGTGGCTTCCGCAGAGCTTCATCGAAATGTGGCCTCATTCTGAAGGGGACCCTAAAGAGATGGGTGGGACCTGTGCCTTTCCCACGAGGTGGCCAGGATCTGGCGCGTAGGTGGCAGGGGCGTTGCAGATGGAACCACATCTCCGCAAAGGTAGTGAGGAAGCTAGTTGGGAACACACACACACACACACACACACACACACACACACACACACACACACACACACACACACACACACACACACAGTGTGCTGTAAGAGCGCAGCTGAAGCACCAGCTGGGATCAGCTGTGGGCCAGATTGAATACACACATTTAATCCCCTAACTGGCAGGGAGAGTTTATATCCTCATCCTCAAGGTACAAAATGTTCCAACACATTTTGGAACTTTGGGGGCTGAGGAAGCCAGGTACACTGAGGCAGGCCTGTCCTGTCCCGTCCAGCAGAGCCTGAAATGCTCTAAGAAGATGCCGC